TTTATATATAATAAAAACACTTTAGGGCCCAAAATTGATCCCTGAGGAACACCACAAGTGATTTACTGTCTTCTAGATGAGATTTCCCCTCGATGGAGAATTTGACCGAGTTCAGCGGAACTCCTCCAAAACCATTTTTCTCAAGTTTTTGTATTAATGTTTGATGATCAACAGCCTCTGGGAAACCATCTCATTTACCAATTTGAGCAGGTAAATGAGATAGTTTGCCAATGGAATGATTTTTACTCCCCCAAAAAAAGATAATTAGATAATATGCACTTGAAATAAGACAATGCAGTTGTTTTTATTAGTTTAAATGTAAATTGTCTTATTCCATTTGCAAAATGTCTCTTTTATCTCTTCAATCCAAGAACAAATGTTCTTACTTTCAGAAAAAAATGACTTATCTAGATTTTGATCTATTACAGTGCAGTTATGCATCCAAACAGGATGAGCTTTAAAGTTAAACCTGATTCAATTATTTAGAGCTGAATTTTCTAGCTGGTTTTGAAGCCTCCTTTGTCCATTAGAAGTTTTGTTTAATGAATGCTTGTAGTAAGGATTGATAAAATAAACGTTAATGTTTTAATAATTCCTCTCATGTCACTGAGCGGCTGTTGTTTTTTAGATCAGTTTGAATCTTTGAACTTCTGTGTGTTCAGATTATTTTCTATTGATGAAAGCTCTTAAATGACCCTGCTAATAATAATCAGACTGTATCTGTAACAGCTGTTCCAGGTCAAAGGTCATTTTGAAGACATGGATCTTTGCACTAAGATGCAAATAAAAAAAAAGACTTAATGGTTCTGTTTTTAGAATGATGCTAATGCGTTAAAATGGGCTTTGATTGATCTAAACCATCTGATTAACAGAGTGAAAAGCAAAATCTTCACCTAAAAACTCTTTGTTCATTTGTCTTAAAATCAACTTTTTAAAAAAAAGAAAAAATCCTCTCAATGTTTCAAATAAAGTGAAATTCTGCAGCAGGATTCTGGTTGTAAATGGAGTTGATGGATCCATGGTTACCTGCCGGTTCTTCCCTTTGCCTGCGCAGCTCTCCATCTCAGCCTCAGACGGACTCCAGGTCACCTGAACACCAGAACCAAGAGCACCGGGTCAACGGCTGCAGGAAGCTCACAGCCTCACCTGGACGGCTCAGCTCACCTGCTTATTCAGCTGGATGACATCACTCTGGCTCACATCCAATGAGAGGATGGCATTCCGGGCTCCCACATAAAGGGTGGAGGCGTCGTTGCTAAGCAACAGTGTGGTGGTGTTGCTAACGTCTGGGAGGCTGAAGTGATTTAAAGGTCTGTCTGTCGAGTCTGAGGAAATAAAAAAACATCATTTATAAATAATATTAATATTCTGAAACAAACGAACTTAAAGACAAACTTTAGATCCTGACTTTCATCAGATGCTGGGGGGGGTTCACCATTAGGCAATACAAGGCAG